AAAATGTGCACTTTTCTACCTACAAATCCTAGTCTAGTAACTGTATGTGCTATAGTATTAAGTAAAACAGTTCAGAAATGAGTTGATGATTAAACTGAAGCTGACTGAAGTTTCTCAATCTATTTTCACCTTCCACTTGTGCTGCTGGAATCACACAAACTTGCTCTAAGGTTAGAGAGCTGAGAGCACCGTGTCCCAGAACATTTCCTCTCTTAGTTGTGAGCAGTGTTTGATTCAACCAGTCCAGCCCAGTTCAGCACTGTTTAGCCTTGTCTAGCCCAGCTTGACCAGCCCAGCCTCATTTACCCCAGTTCAGCCTAGTTTGGCCCAATTCAGAGCTGTCCAGACCAATTTAGCACAGTTCAGCTGGCTTTAGCCCAATTCAGACCAGTCCAGCACACTTTAGCCCTCTTGAGCCCATACATACATGAAAATAACAGTGGTTGGGGATCAACGAGCTGGGTATACTAAGTCAGTAACTAATTGATAAGCTTCCACCAAACCATACACTGGGAGCTTCCTGCCAGTCTGTATCATTTCAAAGCTTGCAGCTATTACAAGAATATTATGATATTAACTTGAATTTTGTCCTTCTGTCCTCAGTGACTTGACTCCAGCTTTGACCATGGTCTTAGATCATTGTATCCCGCAGTCTCCAGCAGTGAACCCCCTTATCTACAGCCTGAGGAACCAGGAGCTCAAGAATGCTCTGAGGAAGCTGGTGACTGGATGTGTTTCAGCAGTCATACACTGCCTGCTGTCCTTGGCAAAGGGCTCCAAGCGTAGGTCATGCCAGGCCAAGTCTGTCTTTTCTGCTTTCCAGTTGATTTTCTTTTTCCACTTGTGATGTTGTTGTCTTCAAAGACATATCAGTTTTCATCCCCTGCTACTTCAGTATCTGCCCCCCTTGTCTGACCTATAGACTTTGTGTCAATGGAGGTCTTTCATTCCATTTAAGCACAATAAACCATCCTGCAGCAACTTCTTCTCTTGTGATGTGTCCTCACATGGCAGGAATGAAGGGGAATGAAATCAGCTTTCTGGCTGCTCCAGCTCTGGGATGCCTGCTCCATGCCAGGAGCAGGAAGAGCTCTTGAGAAACCCAAGGGCAGGGGCTGTTGTGCTGGTGTGGGGAGATGGGATGGCATGGGGGGGCTGCAGACCTCTCAGGGTGTCCTGGGCAGGAGAGCAGGGGACACAGGGGACCCTGCAGGGGACTGCCCTGCAGTGGCACAGGCTGGGGCTGCCTGGCTGAGAACAGCCCATGGGAAAGGTCTGGGTGTGCAGGAGCTGGACAGGAGGCAACGTGTGCCTTGGCAGCAAGGGAGGACAGCAGCATTGCGGGCTGTATGACCAGGAGCATGGCAGGAGAACAAGGGAAGGGATGATCTGGAATGCTCCATCCAGGTTTCAGATCTCCAATTCAGGAACGCTATTGGCAAGCAAGAGTGAGTTTATCGATGGGCCCTCAAGACAGGCAGGGACTGGATCACGGTGCCTGTGGGGAGAGGCTGCGGGAGCTGGGCTTGTCCAGCCCAGAGAAGGGAAGGCTGATGGAGACCTGAGATCTTGGGAGGAGAAGGCTGTCAGGGACTGGCTGCCTGTAGCGGCAAGGACGACACGGAGAATACAGAGCCAGGCTCCTCACCATGGTGCCTGGTGGGAGGACAAAAGGCAATGGGGGAAAGTGACAGAGGAGAGGTTCAGCCAGGAGAGAAGGAAACCTTGTTTCCATAGGCTCAGGCAAGTGCTGCATCAGGTCACCCAGAGAGGCTGTGCAGTCTCTGGCCTTGGGGATTTCCAGCTCAGATTGAATCAAGTCTTGAACCACTTGCTCTGACCCTGTTCCTGATGACCTGCTGGAGTCCCTTCCAGCCTCTATTCTCTTATGATCCTACAATGATGGGCTTACAAAGGGTCACAAAGATGCTCTAAGGCCTGGAGCATATCTGGTGAAGAAAGGCTGAGAGAGCTGGGGATGCTCAGCCTGCAGAAGAGAAGGCTCCAGGGAGGCCTTACTAGGCCGTTACCTAACAGGGCCTACAATAAATCTAGAGAGGGGCCTGGGACAAGGGATGTAGGGACAGGGCAAGGGGAATGGCTTTAACCTGACAGGGGGGAGACTAAGGTGAGCTCTTAGGCAGAAGCTCTTCCCTGTGAGGGTGCTGAGGCGCTGGCACAGGGTGCCCAGAGAAGCTGTGGCTGCCCCATCCCTGGCAGTGTTCAAGGCCAGGTTGGACACAGGGGCTTGGAGAAAGCTGCTCTAGTGGAAGGGGTCCCTGCCCGTGGCAGGGCTTGGAGCTGGACGAGCTTTAAAGTCCCTTCCAACCCAACCCAGTCTGGGATTCCAGGATTCAGGAATCAATAGCATGTTGAGGAGAGGATGCCCTGGAGGGGAGGATTGAAAGGGGCCTCTCAGGCTTTCCCCGAGTACATGGAGTATTTCCCAGTCTGGAATATAGGAAACATTGGACCGAGTCCATGCAGCCAAAGGGAGGCAGAGCAGCGCTGCTGGTCTGCAGCTAAGGGGTGTCCTAGGCAGAAGTGGCAAGGGAGCAGAGAACAACACAATCTCCTTGGATAGGGGATGCCCTGCTTTGCAATAACAGCAGTGACAAAGCCACAGTCCCTGCCCACAGGGTTCCTGGATGGGAAGCCCAGGTCCCAGCATGATCATGTCACCTCAGCCAGATCAGAGCCTCTTCCCACATCCGTCCTCGCATGCAGCACCCACTGCAGTAGCCAAAATACCAGGGCAAGAGCCATGCCTAGCACTCACCTGCCAGCGAGCCCAGGGCACTGCATGCCAGCATCATGGGCTGCCACCCGGCAGCGCTGGGGACTTGAGGACGTCGCAGAAGCACGGAATGGTTTGGGTTGGGTGGAACCTCAAAGCTCATCCAGCTCCAAGCCCTGCCACAGGCAGGGACACCTTCCACTAGAGCAGCTTGCTCCAAGCCCCTGTGTCCAACCTGGCCTTGCACACTGCCAGGGATGGGGCAGCCACAGCTTCTCTGGGCACCCTGTGCCAGCGCCTCAGCACCCTCACAGGGAAGATCAGCTTCCTTATGTCTAATCTAAATCTACATGGGGAAGTAATGCCTCGTATAAACATTTAAACAAACAGATCATAGGAAGAAATTCATACACCATAGTGCAATTAGTGACAAAACAATGTCAACTATGTCTGAAAAATAACCCTAAGACTGAAAACAGGAATCAGGTAGGGACAATTGGAAAAGGGAATCATCTGGGACCACAGTGGCAAATAGATTTTTCTGAATTACCTAGAAAAGGAGGTTATCGATATTTGTTGGTATCAACAGATACTTTTTCAGGGTGGCCAGAAGCATTTCCTTGCAGGACAAATAATGCAAAACAAGTGATTAAGGTTCTATTAAGTGAAATAATACCTCGTTTTGGGGTACCAGCAACTAACTCCTCTGACCGCGGTACACATTTCAGTGCAAATTTATTACAAGAAATCAGCAAGAAATTGGAAATAGATTGACAATTACATGTTCCATACAGGCCTCAGGCCAGTGGGCAAGTGGAAAAAATAAATCACTTAATTAAACAACAGCTTGGGAAGATTTGTCAAGAGAATAAGTTGTATTTAAGAAAAAGAAACAATTTTTTTAACTTAGAACATGGACAGCGGAGGCCTCAGTTTGCTTCCTACAAGTGAAAAACACTTCATACAGCTCTATATGCAGCAAGCTTGGCTATGTGTAGAAATGCCAACTATAAATGCTTTAGCTCAGCTGTCGTACTGGTTTTGGAAACCAACAAGGAGTAAGCTATGCAGTGCTCAGCTGCTGGATGGGCTGACACCATGGAAGCTGTTTAGTTTATTTGATAGAGTGCCTTGTCTGTGATCCTTCCTGGATTTGAAAACTCTGCGCTTGGGGAAGAAGAAATTGTGCTGAAGTTCTTTGGTTATAAGCCAGTAGCAAATGGTATCTCAACAGCAGTTTTTATTTGCTATCCTGTGAGGCTTTTCCATGAGGCCATAGGCACAAAAGTGTTACTGTTTTGTATTTCAGAGCAGACAGCTTCATTGGAGCTCACTGGAAATTGGACAACGTGCCCCACATCAACAGGCAGAAACCAGGAACATGGCAGGGGCTGCAGAACAAGTAAGTCATTTGCTTTCTGGGTTAACAGTAGGAGACCAGGTTGATACGGCTCAACCTTCATCTCTCTTCAGAGGAATGAACATTTTCCTGGTCATCTGTTTGGGACAGACATTCATTGTAACCAATGAGATGCAGAAGCCCAGAAGGGGATCCTACAGGAAGGAGCGTTTTTGAAGGCCCTCTGTGCTGTTTGTGAAAGCAGAAGATGCCTTCCTTGCTGACCACCTCTTGCCTGGACACGTAAGTGTTGCCTGTTGTGAGCACTGACAGCACACCATAAAGGAGAACGGGCTAAGAGGGACCCTAAGCCTTTTGCTTTCCAAGGGTGGTTAATAGCCGTGTGTTTGCCGACAGCTACGAGGGTGACAACACTCACGCACCGCCTTAAGCAATGGATGATTTTTAAGTTCAAGCCCAATTTGTGTCTGGTTTCTTTCGCTCTCTTTAAAAAGGCAGAATGAGGACCAAGCAGTGTGTGCTGTGATTAAGTTGGTGATGTGCGCTCTGCTTGCAGTGAAAGACCATTAATGTCAGAGCGTTAAATAACCCGTCGAAGAAAACTGGGACAGAAATGATCAACCGAGTGACCTGAATGGTTTCATCCATTTTTATGCTGGATCCTGTGCCAAGGTATTGACACAAAGCAGTCAGATCTAATGTTTGGATGAGAAGTGTTTTCTGTGATGGGAATGGTCATTTCATACAGGTTTTGGCCAGTGTCTGGACAGTGGTTTCAGTATGTGACCTGCAGACACTAGAAGGTGACAGGTGACTAGTATGTGGCAGGGGGGCTGGAACTTAATGATCTTAAGGTCCTTTCCAACCCTAACTATTCTATGATTCTATGATTCATGAAAATACATCAAGAAAGGCAGGGCAAAGAGCATGCAACTGTCTGCGACTATGAGGCTGATCACGTACATCCTGGTCTCAGTCCATCTCTTGAGTTTGCAGCAGAAGAGCCGGAAGGCAATCATGTTTGGTGGGATCCCCAAAGAGAGCACTGGGATGTAGACTATAAGTTGGAACAGCGCAATGCTATTCCGCATGTCGTCGTCTTCAGTGCAGTTCTCCATGTTGGGTTGTCTCTGCAAGAAAAGGGGGCAGGCATGAGACTGACCTTGGGGCAGGTTGTCTGGGCTGGGTTCTGCTGCAGTGCCCCGCCTCTCACGGCTCTGTGGCTGCTCATGCCCCTGCGCTGCAGATGTAGCTCATCAGCACCATCTATCCCTCACCTATCAAAGCAACTCGGCAGCAGCTAACACAAAACCACAAAGGCAATTGTCTCGCAGCTATTACAGGGTTAGCCCTGCCTTGTCCTCCATCCAGTCCTAGTTTGGACAGCTTGACTAATAGCAAAGGGTGTGCAAAGCAGAATGATCTTTTCTGTGGTTCCTTATCTTTGCTGCTGCTGTATTTATCTGAGAGCCACTGGCTTTAAGGCAGCCCAAAGCAGAGCTGGGCAGCATTCCCCCTTTGTCCCCAAGGCCCTTGCTTTGTTGCTGAAGCCACCCTTTGCTCTGGGTGTTGCCAGGCTTGTGAAACTCCGAAGACTTGAGTCCTTCCAGATGTGAGGGTAGCTCAGGTGACTTTATATACTCCTGGGGTGGTGGGAATGCTGCTGCAGGCTGCTGGGTGCAGACAGGTGAATGCTGTGGGCAGGCTGTGTCCAACCATGGAAGCAGAGAATCAGCCAGGTTGGAAAAGACCTTTAGGCTCATCCAGTCCAACAGCTCCCCAGCACTGCCAAGGCCACCACTAACCCATGGCACTGAAGACCTCATCTCCACGGTGTGTGAACGCTTGCAGGGACGGTGACTGCAGCCCTGCCCTGGGCAGCCTGTTCCAATGCCTGAGCACCCTCTGGGGAAGGAATTGTTCCTCAGCTCCATCTAAACCTGCCCTGGTGCAGCTTGAGGCCGTTTCCTCTTGTCTGATCCCTTGTTCCTTGGGAGCAGAACCCAGCCCCTCCTGGCTCCTTCCTCCTGTCAGGCAGTTGTAGGGAGTGATCAGGTCCCCCCTGAGCCTGCTCTTCTCCAGACTGAACCCCCTAGGTCCCTCAGCCGTTCTCCATCACACTTGGGCTCCAGGCCCTGCACCAGCTCTGTTGCCCTTCTCTGGCCCTGCTCCAGCACCTCAATGTCTCTCTTGCAGTGAGGAGCCCAGAACTGAACTCAGGATTTGAGATGCAGCCTCACCAGTGAAGGGGTTGATCACTGCCCTGGCTCTGCTGGACACGCTATTGCTGATACAGGCCAGGATGCTGTTGCCCTTCTTGGCTGACTGGGCAAAAGCTGGCTCATATCATGCTGTCATGAACCCACTCCTCTCTCTGCAGGATACTGGGGAGGAATTGCTCAACAAAAGTACCACCAGCCCCAGCAGATAACATCTCCAAAGAGAGAAGGGAATGTGAGCACGTGTCTGATCTCAACCTTCAAAGACAGGAAACCAAAATGTTGCTGGAGCAGAAAACACAAATCCAATAATTTAGACTATCTCCTGGCATTCCTTTAGATATTCAGGGCATTCGCTCCCATCAAGAAGGCTGTGGAAGATGAATCACATTTAGTCTGCAGTTTGTAAAGGAAGTGTTTACGTCAAGGCAGGTAGAGAAAACACCCAGAATCTTACAATCTCTTACAAATACATTGCCTTATAAGTCAGCAGCTTGTAAATATCAACTTAGTAGCTAAACTGTAGTGAAAATGCCCAATTGCATGAACTAAGTGAACTGGGTTTAGTGTCGGGGACTGGGAAATGGATCTGACAACCACAGAGGAAAGCACAGCACCTGCCCTAGCACCAGAACTGATGTGTCATTACTGAACCACAGGGATACAGTAATTTTTAGGTTGGAATTTATGGAGGAACTAATACACAGCTGGTGTCCTGGCTCTTTGGGGCTTTCAGCCTCAAGGTCCTTGGCTGCATTGTGGTACCACCTACCTTGCAGCCATTCCCTGCCAGCCTACTGTGGGTATCCCACAGTGAAAAAGCCACTTTCTGCATGCAGAGCACTGTTTGAGGAGCAGCTGAGCCCTATGTGGCCCCCATCAAACCCCCTGTGCAAGCACAGAGCCAGCAGTGATTCCCAATGTTCTGTGCTGCAGCGTGCCTGGAGCTGGGTATCTCCATGTGCACAGACAGGAACTGGTGTGAAAGCAAAGCTAGGGATGAAGACCCCCCTGAATGACACAGGCGTCTGCAAAGCGGGAGGACACCGAAGCACCTGTGTGCAGGCGAGGACTGAATTAGAATGGTTTGGGTTGGAGGGGACATTAAATCTCACTCAGCTCCAACCCCCTGCCATGGACAGGGACACCTTCCTCTAGACCAGGTTGCTCCAAGCCCCGTCCAGCCTGGATTTAAACACTGCCAGGCATGGGGCAGCCACAGCTTCTCTGGGCATCCCTGTGCCAGGGCCTCAGCACCTTCACAGGGAAGAACTTCTGCATAATGTCTAACCTAAATCTCTCCTCTGTCAGGTGAAAGCCATTCCCGGCTTGTCCTGTCACTACAGGCCCTTGTCAAAAGCCCCTCTCCCGATTTTTTGTAGGTACTAGAAAGCTGCTCTAAGGTTTCCCTGAAGCCTTCTCTTCTCCAGGCTGATTCTCTCAGCCTGTCTTCATAGAAGAGGTTTGTTACAATAATCTTTGGTCTCCTGTATGTATGTTAACAATCAGGCTAGCGCTTCTACTATGAGGTGAGAAAGCACACCCAAGTATGTATTGAGCAGAGCACACACCGGTGTGGGAAGAAGTAAAAGCCATTACCTGCTTGTGGGGTGGTCAGGGTGGTTTAATCCTCTGGAAGGTTGCAGCGAGGACACAGGCATTGTGGCAGGAGAGAGGATGTGCCAGGGCCGTGGGTACCAGTGCGGTATGCTACTCCATGCAGGGCACAACTGCCTCAGAGCCTGCTGCTGGCAGCTGAAACACAGCAATGAGCTCTTGGTCCCCAAAAGCAGTTCATTTATCACCTACTTTCTGGGACAGTTGAGTCTTTGGTGCTCTCTGTTGTTCTGCTAGCATCAGCTGGATGCTTCACCATCATCCTTACCCACCCAGCCTGTGCTCTCCAACTTGCCTCACACAAACCCCAGCAATTAAAATTTAATGTTTTCAGTAGTGGGAAAACAAATAATTTCTGAACTAAAACACATAATGGTTGTAAATTGCCCTTCTGGCAGCAAAAGGGGGCACAGCAGGGCTGGGCAGCGTCCGGTGTGGTTGCAGAGTGTCTGCAGTGGGGGACTGACAGTCTTTCTGAGGGGACACGTCGGTGCTTGTGCACCCTGTGATAGTGAGCCCAGGGTGAGAGGTCCCAGCATGCTTCTATTCAGTGTCTTTACAAGAAGGGTGACAGTCGTTATGGGCTGGGTGAAGCTCTGTGAAGCAGTCAGGTGTCTAACACTGCCCATCAGCATCACTGCAAAGCCCAGGCTGGTAATGACAGTCGCTGGTCAGAGATACTGGTGAGGCAGTGAGCACGCTACTGGGACCTTTAGAAACTTGTTTAAGAGCATGCCCCAGTGGGACTTTACAGTCATTTTGATTGGTTTTGCTGTCTGTTGGCTGCAGCAGTTGCAGGCCTATCTGTGACAGCCAGGTTCTAGCTTCCTCAGCATTTGTGCCATTAGTTCGTGTCTTCTGAACACACAGTTCCATAGGTGACAATAGCAGATTGAGCAACAGCCATGGGCTCCCTGAAGGCAGATGCAGATCACAGGCATGGGTGACAAAGGTCTAGACAGAGTTGAAAGGGCTTCCTCAGGGGTGTGAGCAGTAGCCTGCGGGGGAGGTGTCTGTGCCAGGGCTCAGCCTTGATACCTCCTGGACTTTGTGCCTTTATGGCACTGGGTAAGTCCTGCTTTCATCCTTCATGTCTATATGATGCATTGACTTGAAGACGAAGGGCAGTCACCAGAGTCTAGGCTGTTTTGCAGAGCCATGCACTTAATAATATGCTGTTACTGCCTGAACCCTCCTCGCTGCGCTCCAAAGGAATATGAAAGAAATAAACTGTATTATTTTAGTAATACAAACAACCTGAAACACACGATGAGGTAGAACACGATACATTCTTTTTGTATGCATTGACAATAAGGATCAATAGACTTTAGCTGAAAAATGAACTAAAACGGGGCGACATACATGGGTCTCTTGTAAGAGTAACTTCTTGTTAGAAGTAAGAGTAATTCTTGTAAGGCTGAAAGAAAAAAAGATTCCTGAAAATTATAAAGTCTGGCACAATCCTATCCTAAGAGTCAATTTATCTTGTCTTTTCTCTACAGAGAGTTTGCAGATTTTGGCAAAGATCCGGTTTCCAGTAATAAAAGTCCCCAAGGACTTCTGGTGCCTAACACCTTCTCTTCCTGGATCCTGAGCACATTGCTGTGATTAAACTGTCTGTTACAGACAATATTGTTACTATTTGTGTTTATTATTGCAAGAGGAAAAGAGCACAAAAATGTTTGCATATTAAACGCTGGATAATATTGCCACTGATGGGTCTGAAGTGACTCTGCAGAGAGAAGTGCCCATCTCTCTCTATGAAACACCCAATAGGTTAGCAAATGTATGGGCTGTAGGAAGGGGACGGTCCCTGAGCTTATCTATTTAGCAAACAAGTCTCCTAACCACCAGGTTTCCACATTTATAAAATAAAATAATAAAAAAACCAACAACGTTACATTACATTATGTAACGTAACTTTCCCCAGCATAGTTTCCCAAACATCCACATGCAGCTTTTAAAAACATCAGGTACACTTCAAGAATTCGGAAGATGCACCATCAAACACAAAATCTGCACGAGACACTGAGATTTCTGCCAGAGCAGCAGCCCCCTGTGAGAAGCACAGGCAGGCGTGCAACAAGCTAAGCAGCGGGCGCTGCGGTGCTCCGCTTTACTTGGCAACCCTCTCCAGAAGCAATTCAGTATCATCCTGGATCTTGATGGTTTCGAAGTGCCGGCTGTAGCGTTTGAAGGGCACGCCGTCCGGGCCGATGAGGAACTTCTCGAAGTTCCAGGAGATGTCGTTGCGGCACACGGGACCAGATGATGTACTGCGG